TTAAAAAATGTATAATTTTAAATTAAAAAATTAAACTAAATTTATTAAAAATAAATAAAAAATATAATGTATAAAATATTAATATTCAAAGTAAAAAGATTCTCTCACGTTATTAAAGTTTTTTTAATTTAATAATTAATATTATACATTTTAAAAATACTTTTTTATTTTTCCGCATGGGTTTGAATTTTGAAAAGACTGAATAATAATTTAAGCAATTAAGACGGTGGAGTCGATTATGGTTGTTTAGGGAACATAAGAGCGTGACCGGCACGTGGCCGTGAGTTGTGGAGGAGGGGCAGTTGAGGGGGGGCGGCTGCGGCCAGCGAGTGGGCCTTCCCAATTTTTGACAGGCTGGGCTGGCAGAATTGTAGTACCGTTCGTCCCCCCAATTCCTGCTACTCAAAATTGTCGTTTTCTGCGCCAACTCAGCACCGTTCTGTTTTTTTTTTATTTTTTAAAGAAAATAGTTTAAAAATAATTTTTTTATAAAGTTTGTTATTCTGCGCTTAAGACAACAAATAATTATTGGTTAATAATAATTATTTAAAAAAAATGTAAGATTTTAAATTAAAAAATAAATTTTAATTTTAATTTTAAAATAAATAAATAAATAATTAACATGTGAGGTTTATAATTAAAATAAAAGTCAAATTTATTATTTTTAAAATAAAAACTATAATAATTATAAAATTATTATTTCTTTTTTTTATCAGCCATAAAATTATTATTTCTTATATTGTACTTTGATGGATAAATCACTTTTTATATTATTTAGTATAATTTTATATATTATTTAAAGATTTATTGATCCTGTACTCTTATATCACAAGATAAAAAATAATGATTGAATAATAATTATGATATTTTTCTTAAAAAATGTATAATTTTAAATTAAAAAATTAATTTTTGTTTCATAATTTAAAATAAACCAACAAAAAGTTAAATACATGATATCCATAATTGAAACAAAAATTAACTTCACCATTTTTAAGGTAAAAAGTAATACTTATTAGTCAATAATTACTTTTTATTTTATATCCCTATGGTATAAGATAAATAAATTTATCATTTAAATATTTAGATCTTTTTATTTTTTTAAAATTCATGATATTAAATATGTATTTATTTAATGATATATAAAATTTATAAAAAAAAATAATATAAAAAATTATCTTTATATCATTATTTTTTTAATCAATTATCATTTTTTTAAAAATATTAGATTTGGTCATTTTAATTATCATTATACCTATTTTTAAATAATATTTTTCTTATGCTCATATATAAATAGTAGTACGATTTTTTATAAAATAAATAAATTAATAAAATGTACATATTATTATTTATATATTATTAAAATATTATTTAAAAATATATTACAACAAGTAAAATAAACAAGAACTACTATATCAGTCGTACAATAACATTTTAAAATAATAAATTATGCTCTCCAGCCTGGCTCGGTCAAAGTCTTCCTTCCTCTTAACCGTATAATTCACTTCTCTAATCTATTTTTAGAGAGTATTTTTCCTTTTTTGTCCCTACAGTGATTGTAATATAACTCCGCACATTAAAACCCCACGTTTTGTTTTTGAAACATATAACCTCTTTTTTTAAACCTCGTTTCAACTTTTATTTCCCGATATTTAAGCTAAGGTACAATATCAACTTCTTTAACAGTTTAATCCCCAAAGTTTTTTTCTTTTCCCTGTACTAGATAAAAATTTAATCCCTAATTAACGGAAAAAAGAGATCCTCTGTTAAATTGGATCAGGATGGGGTGTG